TGACCTTTTCGATCATATTGGCGGACTCAGTCCCGGACGAGGAGTGACCCCAGAACCCATCATGAGACTACCTCTCCCTCGTCGGCAAACATATATAGCGCGCGCTCTGCGTTGTTGGAAACCCTTCGTCGATCCTTCGAACCCCCGGCACGATGTTCACGAAGACGCTGACTCTCGTCGCCACTGCGGCCGCCGTTGGCGCGACGCTCGTGAGCAATGACACCGACGTACGTTCGTTCACCTTGATGCTTTCCTTCGCAGTGTTGTATACTGAATTGTCGTACAGCCGTTGTTGCAAATCAATATCACGGCGCCGGATTCATCTGCACATGCGACTTTCCTGCCCTTTGGCGCGACGATGAACGCGTTTTGGGTGAAGGACAAGTACGGCCAGTTCCGTGATATCCTCGTCGGGTTCGATAACCTCGTGCGTTCTCCTACCCCTTCTCCGTGTTTGCTAAAGCTGAAGTGTGTGGTATACGTAGACGAACTACGAGTCTGGACGCAACTTCTTCGCGCCGGTTGTAGGCCGTTACGCGAACCGTATTCGGAACGGCACATTCACCATTCCTACCTCGAAAGACGCGTCGGGGCCCGGAGAGAAGTACCAGGTGCCGGAGAACGAGCACAACGGTGCGTATCATGTCCTCTCTCCGCGAGAACACGTACTGAGACTCCGTCTGCAGGCACAAACTCTTTGCACGGTGGTGACGATGGTTTCGACCGTCGTGACTGGAGCGTGGTTGACCAGGGCCCAAACTACGTTTCGTTCTCCCTACTTGACGCCGCCGGAACGGAGGGCTTCCCTGGGACCGTCCTCACTACAGTGCGTACTCTCATACCACCATCTTCCCTCATCTACTTATTTGCTCTACGCAGGTCACCTACAGCCTCAACAATGACTCCGTCTTCAACACGACCATTTCCGCAACCGCCACAGCTCTGACGCCCATCCTCCTCTCCGCCCACCAGTACTGGAACTTCGAGGCTTACAACGAGACTTCGGACCTCTCCGAGCACTTTTTCCAGATCAAGTCGAGCAAGATAGTCGAGACGGACGGAAACCTCATTCCCAACGGCAAGTTGAAGAACATCAAGGGATCGTTGGCGGACTTCAACAAAGCGAAGAGTATTGGCGCGGCTATCAATAAGACGACTGCGGGCGAGTATTGCGGCACTGGTGCGTCCGACTCTATTGATATTGAGTGGAGGAGATGTCTGACGGAGTGTAGATTGTGTTGGATTTGACAACGCGTGGATCTATGACAAGCAGAAGTCCTCGAAGACGCCCGTTCTCTCGCTTTACAGCAAGAACTCCGGCATCAAGTACGTCTTCCCTGCGTGGTCGTTGCCCACCATCCTCTAATTTCATCCCCGAATCTCAGGCTCGACGTAACGACGAACCAACCCGCCCTCCAGATTTACACTTGCAACGATATGGGTTCCATCCCTCGCAAAGCCTCTCAGGGTGGCTCGGAGAACGGCACGGCCATTTACGAGAACCATTCGTGCTTCGTGCTGGAGCAGGAGAGTTACCTCGATGCGATCAATAACCCTGAGTTTGGCGTGGACCAGATTTATGGGCCTGAGAGGCCGTACTTTTGGAGCTCTAGCTATGCGTTCTCTGTCCTTGACGAGAAGAGCCATCACTAGCGGACTGGTCAGACTGGTTTGTACTCGGTGTATCTGTCTTCTCAGTTTGGTGTACGGGTATCATTCGTGCAATATACATCACTACGCTATCCACGACTTTGGCTAATGCCTTGGCTGAAGTGCAAGATGGGACGAGGACCCAAGAAACATTAATACAATAGGACGGAGCTTAGGTAGAGGCGGCCTTGAACTCTATGAACCTCTCCCGCCACGTAAAGCCGCCTATTCCCGTCTGTTCATATCCAGCGATTAGAATTGTGCAGCGGGAATCTTTCATGAAGTGTTCCCTACCTGCCAGTACCAGCTCTCGTCAGAAAACTTCGGCAGCGTATTGAAAGGGGCCGCGGTTGGTACGAACATACGCTAAGTACACGGTCACTTCGTGAGAGGCGCTAATGTACACAAGGAACTCACCGGCGGTACAATGGTATGAACTGTCTTGCGCTGCAAGCCTGCCTCGCGAAGTGCCTTTTTAAGTCCACATGCAGTTAAGAAATTCTCGAACGATTGCAAAGTGTCGGTGTACGCATGCACGTCGTTCGCTCGCGCCATCATGGTGCCCATATGCCCTATACAGTACAAGTGGTGTTGGAGACTTATATATGTTACCAATGACCGATGGACGGCACTCACCAATGAGTTCCTCCTTCGTCGTTGCCGACCCGGACTTGGGCAAGGGAAACTAAGATGTATGAGCGATTGATGCCCTATGTGTGGCATCATAATGTACGTGAACATACCCGACCTGCGCGTTCCAACTCCTCGATGATCTGCTTGCTCCTCTCGCTATCCGGGCCGGTGTAATACGGAGGGTTTGGCCAGTTCATGAAGTATCCCAGCATAGTCGACGTCGGTGATTTCCGGAGGAGAGGGCCCCATGCTTTGATGACAGGGGCTACGCCTGCGTAGTTCGAATCCATGACATTCGAGACATCGATCCGGTCGAAGCGCGTGCTGGCAGGTAGTCCTGCAGATACCAGCTTTCCGTCGCGGATTCGACTAGCTAGGCTGAGTGCATCCCCCTGAAAGAGCTTGAAGTCCACATGGAAGCGAGAAAGACGGGAAGAGAACTCTCGGAGCGCGTCAGAGACGTGAAAATATAGGCACCCGTAGACGTCTTCGCGCGTGGTGCCGTGCGCGATGCCTGACTTGATCACTTCCTCGACACTAGTATGAAATCAGCTTCCACTCCGATGTCAACATCAAGACGAGCAACTCACTTCCAACCATTCAATGGGCTACTAAAGTCGCTCAGTAGCAACTCGCAGCGCGGGGAGAATAGGAAACTATTGGGAGTACTGAAGTGTGCATTATGGGCACCGAGAGGCAAAACAAGCCCAAAGCGCCGGAACTCGTTCAGGGACAAGCGATGTGAGGGTTCTAATCGACAGTAGATGCGGTGGTGGAGATCCACGCGGGAGGGGTCGAACCTTAGCAATGGATCAGAGCCGCATCTCAACCCGAGGTTGGCGAGGATGATATAAAACTCACCGCACTCGGGCGAGCTCATTGGTGGCCTGGCCGGCATCGTAGAAGTCTGCGCCTAGGGAGAATGCACCAGCGTACTCTCTCACACCTGTTTTCACGAATGTCTCTAGGGAAGAGCGGCTTCCTAAAGCGATGCGTTGTGGCCCTCCCTCATGTGTGGCGAATTTGGATGAGTGTTGGATTATATCGATGTGATACTCCATGGGCAGGAATGCCGAATACCATAGATGAAGCGCGACGTCGGCGGCTCGCCTCGAATCAACCTCAGGGTCGCCTAAGATGGTGAGGAGTAGGGCGTTGCGAATAGAGACTAGAGAATCAATGTCATTGAGGACCACGGTGAGCTTTCCGGTAAAGTCTTCCGGTAAACTGTTGACTGTCTTAACTACGTTCCGTATGTCGCCGGAAGCTGCGCGTTGGTGTATGTTTGCATAAGATTGGATGCGCAGAGAACTGGCACACCTACCAGGAAACGCGATATGAACATGAGAGTCCAACTGAATTGCGTTCTTCGGTATGTTCAAGACGTCAATCGCGGGCATGTTGCCCCATCTGAGACTACGTTAGCCATAAGAAGGCTACATCATCGAAGTACGTACAGGGCAATGCCCTTGCTGAGCGGTTCAGAGCGAGGGTTACCTGTTACAAAAGTGGGACGGCGGGCTTCCTCTTCCCAAGCTGGTTTCCAACTCTTCAGGCGGATAGAGTCTCTGCAATCTGCAAGATTACCGTCAGCGCACTAGCAGTCCGTGCAACGTGAAAGAGACCGACCTTGCTTATGAAGGCGCCAATGTTTCTTCTGACATTCCTGGTAGCATGTGAGAATAGAATATCGGCGCGAGAGGCATGTTGGACGTACCGAGGAGCAGTACTTCACAAGCATGCATTCGCTGCATGTTTTTGTGCCGATGTTCTTGCACTCCTCTCCCGAGGTATGATTGATGAAGGCGCATGGTGCCTGATCCAGTGCATAACCGGCCGAACGTGAATGCTTCAGAAAGACTGCTGGGCTCAGACCGTGTTGAGCGAGTAAGCCAGTGAGCGCATCTTGATCGAAGAGACGTGCAGGGGTCGGCAAAGGGTTCTTCGTGTGGCCGCCATGAGAGTTTAGGTTCCCGATAGGAGCCGGGTGCTGCTTTGAAAGCTGGTCCATGAGCGCAAGCGCCGCCTCTACTTTCTCTTCAGTGGTGTTTAGTCGAGAAAGCGTTGTAGCCAGTTCGTTGAGGGCGTTGACGGGATTAGTTGCGGACATGTTGGGCTATGCTGGTCAACCGTGCACGGCAACATCACCACCTTAATATAGGCGGCCTGCGACTGCAAAAGTCAGAGGGGTCACTGGATACGCGATCTTGCTTCATCGGGAAAGAAGGTCGCAACGTGGTGTAGGATAATAGGCGCTGTTCTTCGTGCTCCAGTCGATATCAAGCCTAGAGTCCAGAAGAACAGGGCAGCCACTTATATATTCTTCTACGCCGGATCGATCGGAGGGATTCTGAAGTACGATGCCCTGGTTCGTATAGAACCAGCACGCTATGAGTTGCCAGCATGCCTGAATTCAGCCCGCGCCATCGTTCACGTCTGCAGGGCAGTTTGGTCTCGACCGTATAAGCAGATTGTATCCATGATCGTCGTTGATACCAGACATCCCCGCCGTATGCAGCAAACCATGGTGGTCTAAAGCAAGTGACGTGTTGCGTTTCGCGGCCGTCTGCTGATGGTGTTCGTGACCTAGGAACAGGTCTGCTTCAAGATGTCACCATCCCAGGAGGCATATTATAGTGTAGGGGAGTCAGTGCCGAACCCGCTCCTACTTAGACTACTGCGTACGAGTCACATAGCGATGTTGGTTAGAAAAAAGATGGACGTGTTGGGGATTGAACCCAAGACCTCATGCAGTCGAATCTGAGATGCGAAGCAAGCGCGCTACCACTGTGCCACACGCCCTTGATATCTCAGTCAAAACATAGCAATATGATTATCTAAACAACCGCTCGCCCATCGCGACTCTGGCGAGTCCAGAACGAAGTCCCCGCATCTTTCACGACGACCGCCAGATACCCATTATCATCTGATACCCGTCTGCTCACCTCTACCATGGAACTTGAACAACTCGTATCGCGGGTTATACTGGATGTGCATCTTCCCTCGACCTCCGCACCCACTCAGTTGCGCGACACTGTGTTCTACGACGAGAACTTGAGCTTCCATATCTTACTATGTATTCCCTCGCCACCGCCTGCTTCACCTGATGCATCGCCTCCCGCCGAAATCCTCCAGCTTTTGATGCATGCTCACATATCTTACGACGTGGCGTACATCTCACCGCTATCCCATGCTCCTACCCCAGCGATACGCCTCGGCGCGCCGCCGAAGCAACGTAGCCTAGGACTTGCGATTGTACCTCCCGCGACTCCAAATCCTATGCCTGCTACACAGGATCATGATAGACGATATATGCGCACCGAGGGCACGCATCTTACGTCTGGTACATTCATGACGTCCAACGACTCGAAGGATCGAGATTTCAGACTTGAATATGATACGGACAAGGGCTACTGGAAAGCAACATACATCTTAAGCGCAACACTTGCATACATCTCAACGCCTTATTCATCCCCGCTATTATGCCTGACCGCCCATCTTACCATTCGACCTACCCCTCGTCCTCTCGCTTCACTTCCAGAGACTCTTCGCGCTCTTATTCCATCCGAGCCCTCGCCAGAAAGCCCTGCCGGCGCGGAAGCCGCTGCATTCGGACGATTTTTCTCTGGGTTGGAAGAGGTGAACCTGCTTGGTGGACTCAGTGCGAGTACAGCCGAAGATTTGGACGCGGGTGTGCTTGCTTTGCCAACGACGCGACTCGGTGCGTCTGCGCGCACCAAGGAGTTTGCGTTGCGACCAATGCGAAAAGACGAGGACAAAGAAGAAGCCGAAGAGTTGCTGCGAACCAAACCGACGATCAGGAAGAGCTATCGGCGCACAGTTAACATCGCGAACGCCGTGCGTGTGCGCATGCGTACGGTCTTTGTACCGCACTCGCTGCTCCCTCTCGCCGGCTCGGCTGAAGCTTACGGCGACGACGTATCGGCTGGAGCAAGCGAGCGAGCAATAGTGCTGTGCGTCGAAGTCGAGCATGCACCCGAAGCCGGCGCCGCGGGCTCGGATTTCGAGCTTCTGGACGTACGCGTGGAGGTGTCTTCGTCTACTTCTATCCCTGGTGCACCTCTTGGAGGAGAAGCTCGCGCAGAAATTATCGGATCTAGTCCATTCCCTATTCGTCTAAGCGATGGGGCGCAACACAATCTGCTTTACGCCCTATCTCTCTTGAATTTGCCTGCCGGGTCATTGGACGTGTTGTCTGGCGATGCGGATGTGCCTCCACACAAAGTCGGCATCCACGTATCGGGTCGGCCTGTATCGACTTCAGCCATGCTTAATGGTGACGACGGGGTCGGGAAGGAAACTCTGCATCCAACAGAAGAGTTCACGTCACGCTGGAACACTACGCTCGCAATCTCGTCGTCTTCACGCAACTCCCTTCCCCCAGTGGCGAATCAAGCTCATCGAGAAGCACTGCCTGAGCCGCCCTCTCCCTTCCCTGCACCACGTACCGCAACATCAGCCACCTTCGCGTCCGCAGGCCAGATCACTGCCAAAGTGCCGACCCTCATGACGGGCGCCGCCTCCCGTCGTCAGTCTGCGCCTACGCCGAGCAAGACATCCTCACTCGGGTTGCCCCAGCCCCAGGCCCGTCCATCTCCACACCGCGCCAGCACTGGCCCTGGCCTGCCAACATTGAACGAACGCCCCTCGACGGACGGCTACTTCCCGTCTGCACCGACTTCCCCATCGCGTTCCGGCGCTGTGACGCCCCTTGGCGGCAAACGCGCCTACACACCCACGCCGCCCTCTGTTGCCGTTGCCGCATATGCTCGCACGCCACTCACCGCTTCCTTCCCCTCGTTCGCGCAGGCGCAGTCTCAAGCGGGAATGGGAATGTTACGCACGACATTTGGTCCACCTCCGCCCACACCGCTATCAGCCGTGCATGGGGTACCACCGCCCGCACCGATCTTTCCCGACGACGAGCAGTACATCTCGACGGAGTTTGGGCTCGGCAGTCCTCCTCCCGGCGTGGGCTTTGCGAACGTCCCTCCAACCCCTGCGTATCCTGCGTACGGTGCGAGCACACCCGGTCTTCCGTCTGGCGCTGTCACGCCCATGGGCGGTGCACGTATCGGTCCGACTGTAGACGTTGCGCGTGGAACGCCGGGTGCGGCTCCCGTCTTGATGGGGAAAGGGGATGTTGTGCCGGAGCATCGGGCGGTCGTGCTCTCTGTCGCTGTGGTTGTTGATGACGAGGATGAAGGCTATGCATCCTCCTCATCAGGGGGCGATGGACAGCAAGGCGCGGGGCAGAAACGCTTATACCCGCATCAGCGCTTCGCGCTGGACGTCCTTGTCGCAAATCGCTCGTCGACCGTACGAAGGCTTGAGGTGAGCGTACCGCCGCGCCCGAGAAGGAGAGAGATTGGTGGGAAGGACGTTGAACAGCCGGGCATCGTGCCGCTGGACAATCGCGTGCGAGTAGGGTGAGTTACTTTCCGATTTTATCCAAACGTACATAAACTGACGTTGGCATACTTAGACCTCTCAGACCTGGCGCGGTCCAATCTACCACTCTTTCTTTTCGTGCACTCCGCCCCGGAATGCACGCGCTCGATGCACTGATACTCGCAGATGTGGAGACGGGTGCGGTGGTCGTGTGTAGGAAGGTATGCATGGTCTATGTCTGGGAGCGACCCTCTGCATCTCTCGGCCTACCAAGAGATAGTGAACGAGATTCAACTGCGCTGGAAGCGACTGAAACCTTGGAAGATGTCGCCTTGTAGGATAGATACCACCTTGTACCTTGTATGCGCAGACCAGCTTGACGGGATAGCGACTGCACTCGTACAGCGCCTCCTTTGCATCATACTCGTAGGACTGGATCATGTTTATTCCTTGAGTCAATTATGCCAAGGGCGTGTGGCACAGTGGTAGCGCGCTTGCTTCGCATCTCAGATTCGACTGCATGAGGTCTTGGGTTCAATCCCCAACACGTCCATTTTTTTGTCTGTTTCACAGATACACCGGCATTGTGGTATACTATCACAGAGGCCATGCTTTGAAGCACTCATTGGAAGCCGTAGATGAGCGCGCAAAGGTGAGGTCTGGTTTAATACGCCTGGCGTTACATTCCTCGCGGAAGTGACAAAAATGAATAGTATCTGACGAAAACACATGAGCCCAACATTAGAAATCATGGCACATTACAATACATGAAGACAGAACTAGTTTGACAGCAGGACAGCGAGTGATTGGTCGTTAACAACGTGAAGCAGAAAATCGAGAAGAGCACGCGAAGCGATCACACTGAGTCAGGCATGGGATGGGTGAACCTTATACTCTCAGTGCGAGAGAACTTGCGTGTCGGACGCATCTCCAAGTCGTCGTCGTCGTCGTTAGGGTGTCCCTAGCACCATGCCCAGGCTGTCAGCGATTGGGTAGGCGCAGCGAGAGAAGAAACTTGCCTTCCGCATGTCATCAGGACTCTCAGAGGCCTGGTCAACGTGCGACGCGACGTGTACCACGGCCTGCTGAGCCGGCTGGTGAGGTTCTAGGCCATGTATGGAGAAGGTGCTCGTGGTCATTGTGACTGGATCGTCAGTGACCGTCCGATTCCAGAGCCTGGTCCTGCGCGAGTTCAAATTTACCATCAGGGTGACACCGTATACTGGAACTCTCGTCAAACTTTGGTCCTCGCATGAGCTGAGCGAGGCGCGCACCTTTACTCAGCAGGAATGAGAAAAAAAGGTGTAGATTGTTGTCGGGGAGAGCCAGGAAAAGGATCATCTCAACAACTGCAGTTATGACGCATGCGAATCCCTAATGACGTGCGTCAACAACGGTTCGAAGATAGGGAAACATACACTAGGCACGTACTGTCTCGACACTCAGCCGAATCAGCCTGTTGATGAGCAATTCCGTTTTCCCAACAACGTGCGAATCATTCCGAGCAGCCGTAAGCTGTGGCAGAAGTCAGCCGGGTGTTGGGTCACGGGAAGAGTATTGAGCGCACCAGTTTGACCATTGAGCACATGATGAGCTACATGAACTTCGTTAATGTCTGCACTATTTCACGAGCGAGCGTACTTTACCAGATCCGCGATCGTGCCTCCACCGAGCCAGATCTAACAGTGGACGTCAGCTCCGGCTCAGTGAGTATAATGGAAACATACGCACAATAGTGCGTGCGAACATTGAGGTCAGATGGAGCGACGCGACGCTCTTCGTGAACGAGTACTAACGCAGTTTCAGCATATCGCGATATCAGGGAGAAGAACGCCATTTTCACCTGTATGCCAATCGCCCATGCAGCCCCGGTTTGAGCCAGTGCGAGCTATCTCTCTGTTAGCGAGTCTCGAAGCATAGACATAGCTTCATAGTCACTTACGAAGATGATGATGATCGGTATAATCTTCCACGCCCCGAAACGGTGAATACGCCTGAGAGGAAGTTCAAAAACTCGCAAAGCTTGGAGGAAGAACATCACCAACCAGGCGTAAAATATTTGTACCCATGCGGCAACTGTATGTCGAGATTCAGTCCTGGACAATAGGCATACAGCGCCGACTCACCGGTGCTTGAGACGCCAGGTATAACGATCAGTGGCCAGCCAGGGAACTCGATGGATTCTTGGCGCCCCCAACCAGAGACAGCGGCGTTCCAGCCCGAGGCAGCAATGGCGACACTCTGCACAAGGTCCACTAGAAATACTCCATAGACTGTAGGCTGTGTAAGTACACCCTCACGATTTGCTCGATGAAATCGGTGCGAACCTGTGAAAACAAGCCACCAGTTCTCTTTAGAAAAAGAAACGTAATATATATCTGGGAAAGGAG